TCTCTCCTTTAAAAACATATCCCTTTCTGTCGAATTCACCAAGAGAAATCAAATTTCTCTTCAAGTCAGGTACATACATGACTTCAGTCAATAACCTTATTGACTCATTATGGAGCTTGAATCTCACGGATCCAATACCTGCAATTTTGCAAGATTTGTTGTTTCCCAGCAGCACAGATCCACCATCTTGACCATATAGCTCCTCGAACAATTCTCTATTTGGAGTCATGTGTCAAGTGCAACCTGAATCTATAATCCACTCTTTTCTCGAGTCACCACTTGAAACCACAAGAACATCAGATGAGTCGAAGTTATCTTGAACAATGGCTGCGTTGCCATTACCTCTATGATCTTTCAGGCATTCAGGGTCACACCTTTCTTGTATAACCCTCCTTCTTACAGTGATAACATCAAATACCAGATATTTCGCCACTATAAGACTTCTGTTGACTTTTACCTTTCTTCTTGTCGAACTTACCATCCTTTCGCAAGATTTTTCCCTTAAGGGCCAAACCTTCGCCAACCGTCGAAGGTTTATGCTCTTTTCGTTCTTTCAAGTCCTTAGAGTACCAGGTTGATTGAACTTCTTCAAAGGTCAGGGACTCCCTTCCATACAAGAGAGTTTCTTTGAAGTGAGCATGTGTTTTGGGCAAAGCACACAACAACAATAGTGTTTGATCTTCATCATCGATCTTCACATCAATATTTTCAAGATCAAGAATCAGCTTGTTGAACATATCCAACTACTCAACCAACACTTTGTCTTCACTCATCTTGAATGAATATAAAGTTTGCTTCAGGTAGAGGCGATTCACCAGAGATTTGGTTATGTACAAACTTTCAAGTTTCACCCATAATCCCGATGTTGCAGTCTCCTTTTGATACCTGTCGAAGAACCTTATCACCAAGGCTCAATAATATTGCGTTGTGGGCATTCTCGATCATACCCGTCTTTTCTTTTGCCTTTAACGCAACGTCCATGGTTGTCTCACCTTTTAAAGCTTTCAAACAACCCTGCTGAACCAGTAGGGCTTTCATCTTCAAGCGCCACAGACCGAAGTCGTTCACTCCGGTGAACTTTTCAATCTCATACTTTGTTGAAGACTTCTTCTCCATGCTCACCGCACCAATTTATTGTGAATTAGATACCTTAAATAAGGTATAAACGGTTTCTTTATGATCAAGAAACACACAAGGGTTAGGGTTAAAAAAGAAAACAAGGTAAAACAATAAGGAACAACAAGGATTGGTTATAAACAGTTATTCTTTCGTTTCTCTTAGAACATTATTACAAGTATACAAGAATAACAAAATAACCTCTATCTCTCGAAATTAGAATTTTATCTTCCTATTTTTACTTATTCCAAGATTGAGAAACTAACATCTTATTTATAAGAAAAATAACACACTAACCTAATAGACTTTTTAACAATTACCCATTACAAGCTAACTTAGGGTACAAGTTAAATTAAACACTTGGGGTTACAAGCAAGGCCCAATCCAATATGCTAACAACCTAGCAATATTAACTAATGCATGTTAGAACAAACTTCGACTACAACACGCATTATCTTCGACAGCAACATGCGAACTGACTTCGACCTCATGCTTAATTCCTGTCGAACCAGAAGCTACCCTTGGACCATACTAGAGTTCGATCCAATATATCACAAAAGGAAATTGAAAAAATATTGTTTCTTAGATCCTTTGAATATTCAATTTCGAGATAATGCACCAAACACTATCAAGGTGCACATATATACAAAATAAATTAGTTAGTGAGAATAAATAATGTTTTCTGGATCCGTTTATCTATAAGTAAGTATATGCTTTAATTTGTTCTTTCGTTTATAAACCAATTTTATATACATTATTATTTATTCTGAGTGTTTATGTAGAAACCAATTGCAACCAATTATTTTATATTCAAAGCAAAATGTTGTAGTTACGATATGCTCGTTACACTATAAATTTGATGAAGATATGCAAAAGGTTTTGAGCGAGTAAGTGATATTATTTGTGATACTCATATTTTACCTTTGGTTTTGAATATTTTTATTCATGTTTAATTTTTACCGACATGTAAAACAATGAAGGGATACAATTTTGTGAAACGTAATCTACAAGGTAAAAAATCAAAGTTCATAGAACCACGTGTAAGTACTATTTGTAGTTTTTGACATTATTTTATTTTCACTAATGTTTGTGCTTTGTGTGCATTAATTAGTAACTATATGAAAATTATTTGTAGTCGTGAAAACAACCCAAAAACTTTGAATGTGAATACTATGTTATGAGACATGTGTTTAATATTGTCTTCAGAGGCATTATTAATGGATGACTTAAGGTATCAATTGTATCCATATACACGTGATTTATGCATATTTGTTAAGTTAATATTGATGTTGTTAACTTATCATAATTTAAATTTTGTTCAAATTATAGAGATTTAGCTACGAAACACCATTTCCAGAAAAAGATGTAGATGATATCCAATCATGTTGGGCCGGTGTCTTCCTATCTTATCATGAATCTCATAAACAATAATTTTCTTGGTTGTTGTAAGCATTATATAGAGATTTTGTCATTATAGGTGCAAATATGTATAAGTTCAAATATGTATAGGTTCTCTTGGTAGAGGTTTTGTATATCACAAATATCATTGTAAATATCGTAAGCATTGTACATTTGATTTTGTAAACAATAAAAATTTGGTATTCTGTGTTAGGTTTTATATAAAATACAAATGATCTATTCTGCCACATAATTTTTAGATTATGTGTAAAAAATAATACAGGTAAGTCAAAATGAGATTTAAAAAAAATACCCCTTAGTTAATAACAAAAATCGATATAAATATTGACATTTCCTCATCGGTTATTAACAAAAATCATACCTAACTTATTTAATCGAGATAAAATCTTTTTTGAGATAAATTAAATATATTTGTAATAGTATTAATACTATTGTGTGTCCATTACTGAACCCAAAATTTCTACTTAAAAGAAAATAGATCCCTTACCATTTCATCAAAATACTCTTAGGTTCAAATTTTAATATTAATAAACAAGAAGTGAGATGAAAGATGAAATCACAATTTTATTCTGTTTTTTTTTTTAATTGCAAACAATGACACTACATCACTTTTATATATTTATGTATTAATGTAAATAGTGTATATTTATAAATAAACAATGTTTTAAAAAGATTATATGATAAATCAATAATATTATGACTTAAGTCATCATCTATTTACATTGCTTACAAATATCTCAATATAATTTTTTGAAAGTAATTGGACAAGCGTAGAAGTTCTTAACAATTAGAATAATATTAAAAGTATGTTTTATTTTTTAATAAAAAAATATAAAAAATTATCATTCTAATTGATAAGAGGTAATTAATATTGAGAATGACTCACAGAAGAAAATATTATTCAATGAATTAGTGAGAATAACAAGTAAAAAAATATAATACTATTAATTTACTATTTAATAAAATTAATATATATTGAGAATTACTTTGTTTTTTTTTTTTTTAAATATGACTTTTATATCAACACATATTTTTACTTAAAAAATAAAAAACATACTTTTGAAAAAACTTCTAATTTAAAATTAGCTTAAATGACTTTTCACAAAAAAATATGTTAAATATTTATCCTTTAAATATATCTTTTTAAGATAATAAAATTTATAAATATAATTAAAATTTGAATTTACTTAAATAATATTTCACAATTTTTGTTTTTGTGATATACCTTTTTTAAAAGACTTGAACCTCTATTTTATCTAATTAATAAAATTAATTATTTATTTTAAATTTAAACAGTTTTGATGTTCTTTCGTACTTTTATACTTTTGCAATTAAAGTAAACAATTTTTTTTCAATGACAATTTTTTTATGAATCATAACAAATTGCCTATATAAATCTGTTGTATAATTTTATATATAAAAATATAAGTTAAAAAATAATATTTTATTAATTTTTTATGAAAAATGTGAAAGGAATTTTTAATATAAAAAGGTTAATTTTGTGAATAAGTAAAATTGGAGCGCCAAAAGTGTTGGCTTTTTTTTCGAAGTGATTTAATATGTTTAAATATTTAATAAAAATATATATTTGTGCAATATTAAAAAAATCATTTAATTTTATTAGAAGGAGATTTTGTAATTAATATTGAGATATGAAGGTCAAGTTTATTTTAAAATTAAATTAAATCTAAATCATATATTTAAAATGATTAAAATCTAATGATTATAGTTAATTGTTTATGTTTTTCACAATAATCCAGTGTTTTCCTAGAAACATATATAATTTGCAAAATAATACTGTTTTGTCTCTATCACCTTACTTCCTAACTCTATTCTAGTTATCAAACTAACTTTTTATCCCATAGTCTTTTTTTTCTTTTACTTATGAAAAGTATTTGACAATTTTTTGTATCAATTTAATAGTCATTTAAGTTTATCCTTAACTTCGAATATTTGACTCGTGTTGGTTGTGAATGTAAAATTAATTTATAGTAATATATTTTTGGCTCCACATATTATAATATAGTTTAATAGAGATACAACAAGTAGAATAGTTTTACTTTACATTATTTAATAAAAAATTATCATTCTATTATATCATATAATTAATTAATTTAAAAATTTTAATTCAATTTAATTTAGAAGAATACAAAATGATTATTGATTGATATTGTAAAATCGGTAAGTATTCTATGTTTTTTGTATGTATGTATTTTTTTTTCCAGCTAAAATATCAAAATATAATATTTTAGAAATTAATTTATATTAAAACAAAATTACTTTATATGACATCGTAAAACTATATGCATAAAAAATAAAAATTCTTTTGGCAGAAATTAATAATCCACTTTTTTTCTTTTGACTGAAATTAAGCGGGCGCATACAGTTGAACCATGCTCGCTTCATTCCTAATGCATTTATAGGCAAAATAGCATTTGATTTGAAGATCACGCAGCACAATCCAAATGAAAGGAGAATCGATTAAAGAAAATTGGAGGAGGAGAACGAACAAGTTCGAGTTACCTTCTGTTTTACTCTTATGCATCTTCTTCTTTCTCGCTGGATTCTATGGTTCCAGATTCTTCCATCACTCTCAGGTTTTTTTTCTCAATCCTTATCACATTCTTCAAGATTTTAAGCTTTTTTTTCTCTTTTGATTTTCGAAACGGTGTCATGCAGGAAGATGAATATGGCCTACGAGCGAAACTGTTGCATGGTGGTGAGTCCGGTGATGATTTCATTACTTCCATTCCTTTTCAGGTTAGCAAATTAGTTTTCTAGTATTCACAATTTAGTGTTTGAATTAGTGGCATGTTGTTGTGTTAGGTTAGTTGAAATCAGTGTTGCTGCTGTTGAGATGATCGCGCATTTTATGATTCCTTTAGTGTTTGAATTAGCGCAGAAATATCGGTGTATTTAGCTGGTTGAATATTTGATTTTGGTGAATTTTTCATTATATTTTGATCAGGTTTTTTTAATAGAGGTTATAGTGGCTTTATAGTGCTATAGTTCAGTAGAATTAGAGAAAAAAATAATAAATGGAACTTCATCATATAGTTTTATATAGTTTTAACTTGCGGTTGCAGATGTGAATTTTTCGATCATTATGTTTGCTGTGACGTGCATTGTGCTGCAGCGAGACTATTGATTGAGAGAGACTCTTAAATTAAAAAGAATATTGAAATTTTTATTTTCTGTGAGTAGAATTGAAATAACATGGCCAAAATCATCGGATGGAGTCATAATGCAAGTCTAATGCGGTTCCGGAGACTACTGCATCAGCAATATTGTGGCTGCAATTGTGGTTGCTTTAAAATCATGCATAGTACTATTGCGAAGCCGAGTTTGGTCAAACCACTATTTTTTCCGTGAATGGGTTTGTTATCACTGATTTTGATTCGGTAGACATTTTTAGCAAAGAATTCCACTTAATAAGATAAACCTTGGTTGTTGTTGTATTATTTGAATATATGATCAATATTAAGCATGTAATATAATTTATCATCATGGTTGATTTGTGGTTTGACACTTGGATGTAACCTTGATTTGTGTTCCTCAGGTGTTGAGTTGGAACCCTCGCATTCTATATTTTCCCAATTTCGCAAGTGTGAAACAATGTAATAGCATCATTGAGGCGGCAATGGCAGGAGGGCTTACACGATCAACAGTGGCAACAGAGTCGGGTATAAGTGATATCAGAACAAGGTAGTGCGTATGCTCTTTGTGATTTCATCATATGCTTACTAAGTTTTAAACCAATAGAAGCTTATATATTCTTATTTGTCAAACAGCTATGGTACATATATCAGTGCTTCTGAGGACAAAACAGGTGTTTTAGATCTCATTGAGGAGAAAATGGCAAGAGCAACAAAACTTCCTAGGAATCATGGAGAGGTAACATTCATTCATATTATGCTTTTTAACTTCACTTAGTTCAAATTGTAATCCTTTTTTTTTGGATGATTTCTAAATTTTATGAGGAATCACGTTGTTTCAGAAATTTAATATTCTCCGCTATAAGGTTGGTCAAAAATATAATCCTCATTATGACTCGTACTATAGTGCTATTGATGGTCCACAAGGGCGTCGAAGGGTATGTGAGAATAAAATTCATGTATTTTTATTTACACTTGTTCTAATTCGTAATTTATATCATATGATTGGTTACAGATTAATCTGTCCATGTGTTTGTTTACCCCATCGGTTTTTCTATTAACATGCAGGTAGCTTCATTTTTGGTGTATTTAACAGATATCTCAGAAGGTGGGGAGACCAACTTTCCGTATGAGGTAAAATCCAGTTTGTCATTTCATCTCAATTAACTAAATATTTCACATGTTTTTTGTTCTTTTGGAACAACATATTTTCCATTTTCTAGTCATCAGTAATTTATGCATTGTTATTGTGTAGAATGGGTTGAACATGGACCTTGGCTATCATTTTAAGGATTGTATTGGTTTGAAAATAAAGCCGCGAAAAGGAGATGGACTTCTATTTTATTCTTTGTTCCCTAATGGTACAATGGACCGGGTTAGTACTTTATTCTCGTTATAACCGATTTATCTGATCTATATAATACATCTTTGTAGGAAGTACTTTTTTATTGATCTCCTAAAAGAATGAAGAAGGTTTTAGAATTCATAAAGTGACTTGAATTTAAGTAAGCATAGTAATTACTCCACCAAAATGAGTTGATATCTGCTTATGAAGAAGGTTATGTATGCTAAAATTTAAAATGATTTTGCACTCAAATATGTAGGTTGCTTGACAATCTTTGAATATAATTTTTGACAGACATCATTCCATGGGAGCTGCCCTGTAATTAAAGGGGAGAAGTGGGTAGCTACAAAGTGGATATGGAATCAATTACATTATGATGATTATTGATTATATAGTACCTGCAACTAAGATTAAATGTGTTATAGAAAGTTGAAATACTCTCCCGAAGAAATGGAAAATTTCATTGGGTGAGATGTAAACATAAAAATAAATAAAGGATTCCTGTGATGAATTCAAAAGAAATACATGTTTTATGATGTATAAAAATATAGTGTTTTTGTTCATGTTGTTATTTTGAGTTAAGACTTTTGTTTTCAAAAAATAAATATAAAGAAATAATTGGTCTTTTTAAATAGTGAAAAAAATTTAAACTTGTTTTTAGAATTTATAGAATTTTTTATTAAAATAATATATTTATCAATCATGAATTGTTTTTAATATTGTTGTTTTTGGTATAACATAATACAAATACACTTTTATTAACACACATAAAAGAGAAAAAGAGAAGGTGGTTTCATAAAAACACTACAAGAAAAAGTAAAATTAGTTAGGCGAAATTCATTTCACAAATACAAATATCATCTTGCAGTGTAATTATTGCGGGGTGTATCAGATACCTCGCAAAATATTAGCCGCAAAAAGTTGTAAGAAAAAAATCAATGCAAGTTAGTCACATGTATTTCACCTCGCAATATTGTTGAGAGAAATTCACCTCTCACAATCCCTTTATCAAAATTCAGAACAGAAAACAAGTATAAAATTGAGAGGTGAATTTTATCCAACAAATTTTAGAATGTTGATTGGGTGAATTTCACATGAAAATTTTTGAAAATGAAAGAATGTTGCTGACTGAATTTCATTTGGTAAAAATTTTGAATTTATCAAATGAAATACATCACAAAACAATAAATATTATAATAAAAAAATAATATATTTATATTATTCTAAATTAATTTTAATATTTATAATAATTTAAATATACTAAATATGTTTAAATTTAGAAATTAATTAAATATGTTAAATTCATAAATAATTAAAAATATTTAAATTCATACTTAATTTAAAAAATCTATAATTAAATAAGTTCATAATTAATTTAAAATATTTGAATTCATCAATATTGATCTAAATAGTCTCCCTCACCACTCTCGTTTTCTTCATCATTCTAGCCTTCCGCTCTTTGGTTACCAACCGCTCCAACTCTGCCACCACATATTATTGTTGAAATATTTTTTATTTTATTATATTTGTTGTTGTATTTGTTATTGTATTTGTTGTTGTATACGCATTATTTACTCTTGTGAAATTCTCAAATAAAAAAATAGTAAATATTAATAATATTCTGTTTTTTACAATAATATATAGTAAAAACAATAATATTATGTTTTCTAAAATAAAAATATTATTCTATTTTTATAAAATATATAATATTTTGATTTCAAAAATAATAATATGTTATTTTTACAAATGTTAATAATATTCTATTTTTATACTTTATAATAATATTCTGCTTTTTAAAAAAAAATTAATATTGGGTTTTTAAAAAATATATTTTTTCTGTTTTTAAAAATTTAATATCAATATAAATATTTGGTTTTTAAAAAATAATATTATTCTGGATTTAGAAATATAATATTAATATTAATATTTTTAAAATAATAATATTCCGTTTTTAAAAAATAATATTTTTCTGTTTTTAAAATATAATATTAATATAAATATTTTTAAAAATAACATTATTCTATTTTTAGAAATATAATATTAATAAAAATATTCTGTTTTTAAAAAGTAATATTTTTTATTTTTATGAAAAATAAAATTATTCTATTTTTAGATATATAATATTATTTATTTCTAAAATCTATAATATTACTGTTTTACTTATATTTATTTATTTATAATATTTATAAAATCTATAATATTTCTAAAATCTATAATATTTCTAAAATCTTTATATTTACAAAAATAATAAACTAAAATGTATAATATTATGTATTTATTTATGAAAAAACGAAGAAAAAAATTGTAATTTGCATATATCATAAACATATATTTTATCTATCATTTCAAACAGTTTTCACAAAATACAATGATAAATTTCATCAACAAATTTCTAAAATATTATATACAAATCTAACCATCACTAATTTTATCATATAACTCAATGTAAAATAACAAACAATATGTGTACCTTATAACTCAATGTAAAATAACAAATAATATGTGTACCTTAGAAAATGAAAGTTTGAGGATGAGAGAGATTTTGAGGGGTTGGGAAAGAATGAAAAAATATTTCAGAGAAAGAAAGAAGAAGACTTGAGAGATTTTGTTAACATATGTGATTCTGAAAAATGAAAGTTGAAGCTGTGATATTTATTAGGAGCTTGCGAGGTGAAAATTACACCGCAATATTTTAAACTGTTGGGACTTGCAAGATGAATATCCTCTAGCAACCCTTGTGTCAATCAAGCCACCTGCTACTCTATGCAAAAGTTAATGATCTGACTGTTGGGACTTGCGAAGTAGAAATTACCTCGCAACGCATGCAACTGTTGAGACTTGCAAAGTAAAATTCACCTCACAACCCTTGTGTCAGAAAAAGAGTAAAAACGGTCACCTGCCACTCTAATCATTACTAATTGCAACATTTAATTTTCACTTAATATTTTAAAACAAAGTTGCGGGGTGTTTTTCACTTCGTAACTTTCTTTTCAAAAATTTTAAATTTCCCTCTATCCGTTGTAAGATGGAAAATTTTATAATTATTTTTTTAAAACTATGTTGCGACGTGAAAAATACCCTAAAAATTTATTTTTTTTAGGTGATTATCACCTGACTAATTCCAATTTTTTTTGTAGTGAAAAATTGTTTAATGAAAATCAAATTACCATCGCTCCAAGTGTTATTTTCATAAAAATTTGTTTTCACTCATAACTTGTTAGAATATTAGGATTGTTAGAACTAATTAATACATAGAAGAGAGAAAGATATAATATAGAATACATTTGTGTATTGAACTTTGATTAGTTATACACTACTAATTGGAGTCTCAATTACTAACCTAGTTCAGAATAACTTAATCAATTTAGTTTGTGAGTCACTTATACAACAACTTATTTAATTAATTTAACCATGTTGTGAAATCCGATGCCTTGTAAACAAAATATAAACTGTTTATTTATGATCAAAAAACACACAAGGATAGAAAAGATGATAAACGAAGAAGAAGAACAAGGATTGGTTATGACTGTTATTCTTTACTTTCTCTTTAACTCAGATTACAAATACACAAGAATAACAAATAACCCTCTCATCCTAATTAGGATTTGTCACCACTTATGATGAGAGACTAGTATGTTATTTATAATAAAACCTAACATACTAAACAATGAGCTTTTTAACAAATATCCATAACAAGCTAACTTAAACAATTGGACATAACAAACAAGCCCAATTCGTCATGCTAAAAAATCTAGCATTTTCAAAAACTGCATGTTTGACCCTACTTCGACTACATCATACACTACTTCGACAACAACATGTGAACGACCTTCGATTGCATGCTAAACATCTGTCGAAATGTTGAACCAAGACGCTACCTTCGATCATACTAAAGTTCGATCCAATATCTCACAAATCTCCACCTTGGAGCAAACTTCAGAATATCAAGGAACAAACTAGCTTTCTTCATGCAGCTTTATCAACTGCATACAGTGGAAAAACTTGCAACTGGGCAATATCTTGGTGATCATATCAACAACATTATGATCTGTCAAAACCTCTGACGAATGCAACCACACATCGATGTGCTTAGTTCGCTCATGATAGGTTGAATCCTTTAACAGATATATTGCACTTTGACTATCACATTTAACAGTGATAATTCGACCTTTAAGTTTCAGCTCCTTTGCAAAACCGTCAAGCTACAATGCTTCTTTCACAGCTTCAGTTAGGGCGATATATTCTGCTTCAATGGTTAATAAGGCAACAACCTTCTGAAGTGTTTCTTTCCAACTAATTGTTGTGTCAAACATAGTGAACACATATCCAAAAATAAATTTTCTGGAATACATACAACCTGCATAATCAGAGTCGACATATCCTTCGATTGTTGCTTTACTATCTTCACCCAAGGTTCCACCATAAATTAGAACTCTGCTCAAAGACCCATTTATGTACCTTATATTCCACTTCAATGCTTTCCAGTGAGCCTTTCCAGGATTTTCCATCTACCTGCTTACAAGACTTACTGCATATGATATGTCAAGTCTAGTACAGACCATAGCATACATCAAAGAACTCACTATATTAGCATATGGAATGCTATTCATATAAGCTCTTTCGACATCAGTACTGGGACACTAATCTATGCTCAGCTTGAATTGAGGGTTTGTCGGAGTCACAATAGCCTTTGAATTCGACATGCTATACATTTCAAGAATCTTCTGTAGGTATGCCTCTTAAGATAAGCATGATTTCAAATGCTTTCTATCTCTTCGGATGTCAATCCCAAGAATCCTAGACGCTTCTCCCAAATCTTTCATGTCGAACTTATTATTGAGCTCAACCTTCACCCTCATTACATTTTTGATATTGTTGCTTGTTATTAGAATATCATCCACATAAAAGCAACAAAATAAAAAATGAATTACCCAGTCGAAATTTGAAGTAAACACAGTGGTCGAACTAACTTCTAATGAAACTTATGCGTTCCATGAACTTGTCGAATCTCTTATTCCACTGTCGAGGAGATTGTTTCAATCCATATAAAGATCTCTTCATCTTGCACACATAATCTTCCTTCCCTCTTTCGACATACCCCTCAGGTTTCCTCATCAGGATTGTTTCACCTAGATCACCATACATGAAAGCAGTCTTCACATCCATATGTTCTAGTTCAAGATCGAACTGTGTCACTGTGGCAACCAACATTCAAATGGATTTGTGATTCACAACAGAAGAGAACACTTCATTGAATCCGACACCTTCTTTCTGAGTGAAACCCCTATCGACTAATCATGCCTTGTATCTCTTCAACGTCACTCCTTCGATTCGTTCCGTAACTTTGAAAATCCACTTAAAGCTGACTAACCTGGCTCTAGCAGGTT